AAAAACAGGTGTAGCTGAAGTGGATTTTGCAACGCAAGTTTAAAAAACAGGTCATAGTTCATGCGGTAAAACAAAGATCCTTTATGACCAAACACTAACTGAGCTCTACTTGGTATTTCCTGCATAGAAACAGCGTTTCAACACTTTGAAATAATACAGAGATACAATTAAAGGTAAAAGTAAGAGAGTTTTAGTCACTGATGAGTTGTGATGAGTAGCCGCTCTCTTGAATTCTGCAATCTCCCACTTTCTTGTTACTCACAAATTATATATTTATAAATATTAGCCGTGTTTGAAAACCACTGGCATTTGGTAATTTCACGAAAAGGTAATTTCAATATCAAAAAGTTATTCGTTTGAAATTAAACAGGACAAAAACGAAGGAAACAAAAGAAAATATAGCTTGTTGACAATGGAGCAATGTGGAAAAGAGGGGGAATATAAAATTTATAGTAAAGAAACTACAGGGAACGATTTCAATTGTTGAAAAGTGGTCTTATAAGTGGGGGTTTAAATTCTCCGTGGATAAATCTAAAAAACATTTTTTACAAGGAAAAGAATTAGAGAAGCAACGCGCTTCAGCTGAAGACGCGTGCAATTTGAGGATCCAAGAGATGGCAGTAGTGCAACACTAATGGATGCAAGCTGCCGTTAAATCTGAAGAAGAAGAAGAAGCGCTACGTCATCATTGTACGACGCATGAATTCTTTTGGCCTGTTGTGTTTTTCTCCAGCTTCGACCAAAAAATGAACACGGACAGCCTTGAAATACGCCTCCAGGCCTTGGAAAACCGAATACATGGCGAAAGAAAGAACAAAACTGGAAAACCTGTGAAGGTTTACTTAGTGCATTTTTTTCATGAAAACATTTTTAAATTTGTTATTTAGCTTAGCATTAGATTAGCATAGCAGTCGATGTCAGTAGCGGCGAGTGAACGCCCTGTTCTTTGGTTTTTACTAAAGCTGTAATGTGGATACAGCTTATGTTAGCAGAAATAGAGACAGACATTAAGCTTTTACGTCATAACTGTATTTATGTATTTTAATCTGTTGGGGTTTTATGTTGCTATGAAAGCAACCAATGTATGTCGGATTCTGATACTGTCTCAAACAAAACATATCGTTTTCTATTCTTGCACAATTCTTTACATTATATATATATATATATTAATATATATATTGTGAAGTAACTAGTGAGACCTCTGTATTGATGCTGCTGTGACAGCTTAATTTCCAGTCGGCGGGACAATAAATTCTATTCTATTCTATTCTATTCTATTCTATTCTATTCTATTCTATTCTATTCTATTCTATACTATGTGTAAGGTACAACTATCTTAGGAAGTTTACGTTTAAATATTACCAGTGCAAAAAAAAGTCTCATACATGTCTCTGAAATAAACTTAAGCCACTCTTTGCGATGTAAAACTACATTTTTATTCAGGTTTCATAATAAACTTTTTTAAAACTCCACAGGGGGTATCAGTGTGTCATGTGGTGTTGTTAGCACACTGAGGGCCTTCTTTTAAGTGGATATTATAGTTTTATTGAATACTGACAATTAATACTGCATGCTTATGTTTTCATCTTACATTAAGCATAGTAAAATAAACAGTACTCTACATTTGACGGTGATGATTTAATGACTTTTTATATATTTGCTTATAATTTAAACTAACTCTTGTGCTCTTATGTAGTGTGCAGAGTCTTTGGCCAGGATTCAAGCAGGTCTGACCAACACAGCCAACAAGAGAGAAAGAGTAAAGATCCTCCACAAGAAGAGTGAGTCACACTTTAGCATCAGATGAGTTATTTGTTTTTAGAAATTATTTAGCACGTCTGGTAATTTTGCAAACCATTGTGAATTAGAGTGACCACTAGGGGTGCACCAAAAATCAATACAAAGATTCAGAATTGATTTAAAATGTCCCAAAATATATATATA